AGAGGGGGTCGCGGGGTGGCAGAGGCAGACAATGAGTAGGTAGGGGGTTGGGGGCTTTGGGGAGCTGGGCTGTGGCCAAAAGAGGCAGAGCGGGGTTTGGCCTGGGAGGACGCGGGGGGAGCGAGAGTCCCAGCAGTGCTGGGTCTTGGTACCTAGGGAGGAGAGGCTGAGGAGTTTGTAAGGTCAGCGGTGGGCACCGCAGCTGAGGTCCCGGAGGGTGGGACGTTTGGCTGTTGCCTGGCACACTGGGGCCTGACCATGGTGGTTCCTGGATGCCACCCTGAGTTACCGTCCTCGTGTGTTTGGTCTGCAGACTGACTGGCACAGTGGAGAAACCACCCCGCAAACGGAAAAGCAGGTAAGATAGATGTCTTCCTCTTGGGCTTCATGTTTTTTGTCTGCTTGGCTGCACCTGTGCTGTACTGCATAATTGCAAACAGTGGAGGAAGTTTCTGCTTTAGCTTTTATTGTAAATGTGGAGGTTTTCCTACATGCGAGGTTTTCCTTTTGAGGATTTCAAATTATCACCTCTGATTTTTCTTTGTATTTAAGATAATGGAAAATGAAGAAATCCTAGTTTATTTTTTCCTTTAGTCATAATTTAAACTTCTCCACTGCCTCTTACTGTGTGCCAAGTTCTATGTGCCAGTGCTGTATTTGGATTATTGCCTGTAAACCTTGAGGTACCTCAAGGCAGTATATATGTAGTGTCATCACTGTCTTGCAGAGGGGAGAATTGAATCACGAGAAGCTAAGTATTTACCCAAGATCACACATCTAATAAATGATAGAACAAAGATTTGATTCCAAGCCGGGAAAGGTGGTACACACAGGTAATCCCAGCACTGGAAGGCTGAGGCAGGAGGATCGCTGAGAATTTGAGGCTCACCTGGGCTACATACTTCAAGGCCAGCCTGAACTATAAAACAAGACCCTGTCTCAAAAAGAAAAAAAAAAAGGGAAAGAAATATAACATAAATCATTTATGTAAGTTTGATTTTCTAGTGGCTACCATTGGAAATAGTAAAAGGCAAGACAGGCGTAGTGGTATATACCTATAATCCCAGCTACTGTGGAAGCTGAGGCAGGAGGATCCTAATTTGAGCTCAGCCTGGAAAATTTATCAAGACTGACTACAAAATATAAAGGTCTAGGGGCCAGGAATTTAGCTCAGTGGAATTTAGCTCAGAATTTAGCACCTGCCTCACAGGTGCAAGGACCCGAGTTCCAGCCATGATAAAAAAACGAAACAAAATATAAAGGTGTTGCAATGTAATTCAGTGGTAGAGCACCTTTGGATTCAAATTCTCATGTCAATAAATAAATAAATGGAAAAGTAAAAAGAAATAAATGAAAATAAGTTTAGTCACTACACCTAAAATAATACTTCACTATGTAATCATTAAAATTTAGAAAGGGAAGTTTTACATTCTTTTTCTATGCTAACTTCAAATCTAGGGTATATTTTATACTTCAGATATTATCATTGGAAATACATTTGTTAGGTTTTTAGATTTCATAAAATCTATAGATGAAATAATAGATTCACATACCCAAAGATGTCTAAAACATATAAAGACATTTCGAGGAAATGTTCAACTTGTAAATTAAATTAAAAATTCAGCTTTTCAGACATGGTAGCCATACTTTGTGACTGCATGTGACTACTATATTAGACAGAATACAAAATACTGGCACTTCCACATTAGTATTTTGTAATTTCCTATTGCTGAGGTTTCTGTGTATTAGCCGCAGTAATGTAGCAGGTATTAACTATGAAAATCATCCTTTGGTCACATCCTCAATGCTGTGGCTTCCTTTCCCCAGGCCAATCCCAATAAATGTAACACAGGAACTTCTAACTACTACACAGAATTGATGTGTAGCACCTCACGTATGGAATGGGATCAAAAATACTTGCAGAATACTTACTCTTCCTTGCTCAAGGAATCATTCATTTGTGGGATGCTTAAGCCCTTTGTTACTATGTATCTTCCTTTATTAGATTCTATGTACAATGAAAAAAGAGAAAATAATAAGGAAATCACTTTTCAATTATTAGAGGCATTATAGTATAATGGTTGCAATCTTAAACTCTGGATTTGTCAGACTGCTTGGATTCAAATCTTGTTTTGGGGGTGTCGAGACAATGTCACATTATGTAACCCGGGCTGGCCTGTAACTTGTGATCTTCCTGCCTCAGCCTCCCCAAGTGCTGAGATCATAGACATGTACTACTATGTCTGTTTCCCTACCTGCAATATGCAATTCACCACACTGGGCAAATCGATCATGTAATTCTCTAGTGCTTAGGAGCTTTGTGATTCCCCATTGCTATTGAACAGATTTCAGACTTTTTAGCCTTGTAACAAAGGGCTACTTTTATTTCACTTTCACCTACCTTTGCAGCCCTCTGTTAGAACTGCAACTATAGAAATTCTCAATAATGGATCAATTAAATGTTTGATTTTAAGTGATTTAAGTTTCTGGTGAACATTTCAAGATGAATGAATTGCTGAATATAACAATGTTCGGTTTGCCATCTCCAGAAGTTGTTTTCTCTGCTTTGGGTTTTCGTATGTGATTTCTCTTCCTGGAATAATTTCTTCTAGCTCCTTGACAATCTCCTTAGCCTGTACATTTACCTATCTGTCATGGTTTTGGCTGAATCTACTGCTACCAGAGACAAGCTGTGAGATCATAGGCAAGTTAATAAACCTGTCTGACGCTCTCAGGTCCTCAAGCTGTAATGGAAGCAATAATAATCCAACTCTTCCAGGACTATGCAGAGCCTAGAATGGTGCCTGGAACACAGACATTTCTTCACAGCACACATTTTAGGTTAAAAGCCCCCATCCAGCTGGGTGCAGTGGCATGTGCCTTTAATCCCAGTTTAGTGTAAGGCCAAGACTGGCGGGTCTGCCGTTTAGGCCAGCCTAGGCAGTATGGTGAGGCCATTGTCTTAAAAATGGAACAACAACAGCAAAAAACCAAAAATTACACACCCATGAATTACCTTTCCAAAATATGTATAGTCTAGAGGATTACAAATAAATTCAGCCAAAGAAGAAATGAGAGAATAATAAAATTAAATCAAAGATAAAGTTAGTACACAGACCAGAAAGTACTACACTGTTACTAAAGGTAGACTTCATATCTGCCTCTGAGTTTCCTGGAACAAAGCAGAGAAGTTAATAAAGCTCTATTTCTGCCATTTATAAACTCAAACATGCTGGACAAGCAAAGCACAACTTTTTTTTTTTTTTTTAAGCACTGGTCATTGGACACGGCCTTTTTTGCCATTTGCCATTTATAAACTCAAACATGCTGGACAAGCAAAGCACAACTTTTTTTTTTTTTTTTAAGCACTGGTCATTGGACCCAGAGCCTTTGCACTGAGCTACATCCCTAGATCTCCACCTCTTTTTTATTTTTTTGTTTTCAGATAGATTCTTGCAAAGTCACTAAGTAGCCCAGGCTAGGCTCAAACTTGGAATCCTCTCTCAGCCTCTTTGAATACTGGGATTATAGGTGTATACCACCATACCATACCCAGCTTTATTTCTTTGTTTTAGTTCATTTACCTTTCTACCTAGTACTCTTTTGTACCTAGTATAGAACATACATTGTTCTTTGTATTTAGTACTGTTAGCTTAATAAAACTAGTGAACTGATAAATTAGTGAGAAGAGACTTACTGTGGGGTGGAGCTTTCATGGTCCAAAATAATGTGATACTATTTAACTTCCTGATAAACTGTATTGAAAAGTATATTTCTTTCTTTCTTTTGGGGGGGTACTGGGGATTGAACTGAAGATCTTGTGCTTATATATATAGTCTTGTTGCATAGTTTAGACTGGTCTTGAACTCACCATGTAGCCCAGGTTGACCTCGAACAAATGGCGATCTTCTTGCCTCAGCCTCCCAAGTGGTAGGTTACAGGTGTGTGTAACCACACGTGGCTGAAAGGTATATTAAGGTTAGGAAAATTTATCCTTAGCAAGGTGTGGCAGTGCAAGTCTGTAATTCCAGCTAGATGGGAGGCTGAAGCAGGAAGATTGTAAATTTAAGCCCAGCCCAGGGCTATTTAGAAATATAGACTGTGTCTCAAAATAAAAAAATAAAGAGCTGAGTGTGGAACTTAGTGCAAAGGCCCTGAGTGTAATCCATAGTATCCCCCAATCCCTGTAAAAAAAGAAAAAAGCAATTTGATCTCTCTGTGGTTTTGGAAAATTGTGAAGTGTTCATTATGTCTGTTAGTAATGTTTGGATCACGAGTTAGAGAATTCTTTTGGGTACTGTTTGAAACAAGACCCATTTATTAGGATAGAATTCATATTGATTAAAGCTTATCTATTGTGCAAGGCCCTGGGCTCAATTCTTGGTATCCCCCCCCAATTTATGAAACTATTGATTTGGGGACTTTCAGATATTTTAATTATGGATTTAAAGCAAGGAGATCCAGTATTTTGATGGCATACAGAATTTAAGAAACATCTGGGTGCTTTCAAGTTCTGAGGATTTAGATGTGATTGAGGTACAGCCTGTGCTGGGGAAAAACTTACCCAGTGGTACCTCAGTACTTGTTCTTAATTGGCCCCAGGAGGCAGGACAAGTACCAAAAACAATGAGTACTGTACCAAACAAATTGTTTTGTCTGGAAAGGGTAGCGAGTCACAAGGCAGTCTACACCAAGTTATGACTTGCATGTTGAGTACCGAACAAACGATTACTGGGGCAGAATGTTCATATCAAAATATGTGGAAAAAATATGTTGAGTACCAAATTCAATGAGTTTAAAAGCATTTGGGCACCAAGGTGTGACTGGATTAGTGAGATAAACAACCACAGAACTGTGAGAGTGTTATGACTTTATGCATGAAGGTTGACAGTGTCGATGAAGGGTTTATAGTAATTCTGCATTCTCATAGTGGCGGTTTGCACATTCACCTAGGCCCTGAAGGTTTAGTCTACTTTTGGGGTTAGCATAACTGTCAAGGTGTGGAGAAAAGAGTGTGGATGTAGATTGATGAACGCTGAGGTCTTCAGTAAGCTGAATTCAGCACCGGAATCAAGATTGTCAGGTGTAGATAGAAAGGTGTTTTGAAGAGCTTGAGCTGTGATGTCAGACTAAGCAGGGCTTTTCAACTAAGGGAGATTTTGTCCTTAAGGACCTTTTGACAATGTCTAGACATATTTTCAATTGTAACAATTTAGGGCATCTAGTGGGGTAGAGGCCAGGCATGCTTCTAGACGTCCTGCAGTACACAACTTCCTAATCTGGGAATTTTTCACCTCAAAATGTGAATAGTACTGAGACTGAGCAATCCTAGAGTCTGGGTCTCAGCACTTTTAAGTA